CCATCAGATTCATCCTCTCCATTTTCAGTATTTAACATAAAGGCTATGCTCCTTTTCTTATCATATTTGGCACTTATTCCCACTTCAAAGGTTAAAAGAGATCCAATAAGTTCATCAACCCTCATCTTGAAAATATCTTGAGCTTATTTTATGGCAGTTACTTTCATGTCAAATCTCTTGGGGAGAGCCCTGAGAATCTTTCTTACCAGCTTTTCCTCTGACATCTTTTCACCTAGAGCACTTGAAGTATTGGCTATTTCAAGAATATTCATATGAAAATCATGTATGCTTTCATCATCTTTCATCCTTAGGTTTTCAAATTTTGTAGTTAGCAGTTGAAGTCTTGACATCTTTACCTTAGAAGCACCTTCATGAGTAGTTTTGAGTATCTCTCAGGCATCTTTAGCAACTTCACAGTTGTTCACCAATTTGAATATATTTCTATCAATTCCATTGAACAAGGCATTCAAGGCTTTGGAGTTACCAAGAGGCAATTCATCCTCTTCCTTTATCCATTCTTCCTCAGACTTCAAGTCAGATGTAGCATTTCCATCTTTCCCAACAGTCACAAGATGTTCTCATCCTTTTATAACAGCTTTTCAGGCCTTACTATCTAATGATTTTAAGAAGGAAACCATGCGAGGTTTCAAATAATCATAATTACTCTCATCCAGAACATGTGGTCTGTTCACAAATCCTCCTTCTTTGTCCATAGTACCAGAAAGTATCGTCCTTAGATCTCACCCAAAACCAGAGCAGGATGCCTGCTCTGATACCAATTGAAATTCTAGTATCATATATGAAATGTCGAAGGTGATGTCACGACACTAATATCTGAACAATCACCAATATATGAACAGGATAAAAATGTGGTTAACAATAGTAAATAGACACAAGCAATTGTTAACCCAGTTCGGTGCAAACACACCTACATCTGGGGCCTACCAAGCCAGGAAGGAAATTCACTAAATAGAATTAGTTTGAAGATACACAGTAGACTCTCTCTAGTTTACCATCTTCGCACCTAATCTCTACCCTTGCAATTTCTATCTAAAACACCTTAGATATGAGATACCTCTCACTCCCCCTCAATCACAGCAGTGATAACAACAGATGAATAAACTGTAGAAGGCACTCTTCAAAGACAATACTTGATCTTTCTTAAAAAGTTTCAATCAAGGACAATACACTCTTGCTTACAAGCTTTGAGTTAACAACTTACAACACAAAAAACTCAGTCCAATTCACACATCAAAGTGATGAGTGAATGACTCACAAATAACACAAACACACGAAGCTAAAAGCTTATTCCTTACGCAATGCACTAACTTAACCTTAACTTCTCTAAAATTCAAAATAGGATTGTGAAGACTTTATATAGTAACACTTTGAATGGGCTTGGGCTTCAGCCAAAAACAGCTTCTGATTTGATAAAATCAATTCAGATAATTCTTCAAATCTTTTCATAATAACCATCAAGGAAATAGAGGCAAAACATATTTGATCAAATCAAATCAAATCACTATTCAATATTTTCTTCAGAAAATAGCACAAAAGACTTCATAATATCTCCACGAATTATGCACCAAAAACTCTTTTGAATAAGGACTATTTCCACACATATTTAAACCACTAAAACTCTAATCACAACAGCGCAAAGAGTTGCACAAAAATGAAACAGTCAAACCAACACATTCTCACTGAATGTTCTGTTCACAAATGTCAGGACATCATACTTGACATCATGAACTAAACCCCGCAACAATAAAAATAACCACCTGCAGAATGTTAAGAACATATGTCAAGACATCATGTAGGACATCTTGTGATATCACTAAATTTTACCAAAATTTCTACCAATCAAGAACTAATATATATATATATATATATATATATATATATATATATATATATATATATATATATATATATATATATATATATATATATATATATATATATATATATATATATATATATATATATATATATATATATATATATATATATATATATATATATATATATATATATATATATATATATATATATATATATATATATATATATATATATATATATATATATATATATATATATATATATATATATATATATATATATATATATATATATATATATATATATATATATATATATATATATATATATATATATATATATATATATATATATATATATATATATATATATATATATATATATATACATTATTTTTTTTCTTCATATCATAACATTTAATTTAGATTTAATCAAATGGTTAATTGAGTCAAAATACTAATTACAACTAAATATTAAATATTAGACTAGATTCAATTTAAGATTTGGAGTGAGTTAAAAAAATTTACTCTTGTGATAAGTTGAACCCCATATATATATTACTCTACAAGCATAGACTTTAAATTAGATTTAATCAAATAGTTATAAGTAAAAATAATAATTTAACCATTAGATTAGATTCAATTTAATGACTATGATGTCGAGTAAATTAAAAAAACATACTCTTAAAATAAGTTGATCCCCACTCACACACACACACATATATATATATATATATATATATATATATATATATATATATATATATATATATATATATATATATATATATATATATATATATATATATATATATATATATATATATATATATATATATATATATATATATATATATATATATATATATATATATATATATATATATATATATATATATATAAAAGCTTAATATTTAAAATTTTCATAAAAATAAAATCTTACCAAAAATATTTTTTTATATAATATTTAATTTTATAATTAACATATTAATTTTAATTTTTTCATGAGCTCTCGTACTTTTTTTTTAAAACTCTCTTGATCCCTTATATCTATTGGAAAAAAAATCATTTTTTTATTATTATGAAATTTTAATATTATTTATTTTACTAAAATATGAATATCTAAAATATACAATTTTTTTTGCTGTTAAGGATTTTTTGATATTATTATTTATCGTTTAGAATTTTGTATTTTTGCATCTTCTACTATTTTGACCTCTTAAAAAAATATTTATTAATTTATCACCTATATTTTTACTTAATCAAAAATATTGAAGATTGTAAAATTATTATCTATATTTTAATTTGGTTATTTATTTATTTGCAAGTTATAATTTTGTATTTTTTTTTTTGCTAGTTCTACTACTATGACAATTTTAAATGAGAACACATTATTTATTTATCACCTATATTTTCATTTGATTAAAAATATTTTAGCTTAATTATAATTTTGATCTCTCTATTTTATTTGACTTACGAAATTGATTTTCCTATTTCATACTTTTGAACTTAAAATTAACGATGGTTTTTTTTTTAAAATGACAATTTACATATAAAACATAATAAATTATCGTATATAAACATATTATTGAACTTTGTAGATAAAAATATAAATTAAAAAACAAAATTTTTATCGATTTTCTATGAAAAAAATTTAAGACTAAAATTGTTTAAATTTAAAATAGAGGGACTAAAACTGTTTAAATTTAATATAAAAAAACTAATTTCAAAAATTAAATAAAATAAAGAAATCAAAACTGTGATTTAGCCAAATATTTTTTATAAGAAAAAAATATTTTTATTTGATTTATCATCTATATTTGATTAAAAATATTGAAAAATGTGAAAATATTATTTATATTTTAATTATGTTGATTTACCTATACATAAGATTTACTTTTCTCCATAAAACTAAAATTGTACTTCCTCCGTTTCAAAATGGTTATCGTTATAGGAAAAATTTTGTTTAAAATGAATGTCGTTCTCAATTTTCAATATAATAATAATTGTTATTTTTTCAATTATGTCATATAATTATTATTTTCAACACTATTTCCAACACATTAATAAAACTAACTTAGTAAAAATGCAATAACTTAATAAAAATGCAATATTTTATGACAATATCATAACATTTCTAAATCTGTGTGCAAAAACCTTATTCAACCGGCATTTTGAGTCATTTTAAAACAGAAATAGTAAATAAGCGATTTCAAAATATCATCACAATCATTTGTCATTTCCCTCCCATCCCCACAATCATTCTCCTCCCTAAGTCATTTCCCTCCCATCCCCACAATCCTTCCCCCCAACTCTCAAACAAAACTTAAATAAAATCAACAATGTTCCCCCTTAACTCTCAAACAAACTTAAATATATTCAACAATGAATCAAGACCCGGTTCCCAAAAGCTATGGCAATTTAGATGTTTCCTATTAAAGGAGATAAATGGCAAATGAAAATCCACAAACTACTACAGGAAACCACTTTTAAGAAAATATCCATGCAAAGTTAAAGAAAGCAAACCAAATATCATTGGCTCTTTCCATATAACTTTAGAAAGGGTCAATAGAATATAATAGTTCCAAAAGTAGAATTACTTTGAAGTTGGCATATAGGAAAGGTAATTGGCAAACTTCCAAATACCCTAGCCTAAAACAATTTTCAAATTGTATTGAAAGAAACGTCAATATAGAAACTTAGATAAACTGAAACTTAAGTTAAACTTTGGTGCATTTGTTTCATAATCATCTACAATAAAAATTTTGCTGGTATATTCATGTTGTTTTAACTTTGATGTAACCTTTGCCAAAACCTGGTGAAAATATGTGTAATTAAAAGAAGCTGTAGCTGCAATGCATCACTGTGAACAGACAGAATGTAGGTCTCAACTAAATGTATGTGAACAAAAAGCAGCAACTTGAACTTCTAGTATGTCAGATCTTCATAGTAACTTGTTATCTGCTTCCACCACCAAAGGCAACATCTTTTACCTCATAACTGACCCTACACCAAAACAATCTTTAGTCCTTAATTGCAATGACAGTTTATATAATATTCAAGGAGAGAAATTCCTTCAATCTCAAAAAATAGCTGCACCAATGACGCTAAAATTTCAAAATGTTCATTCTCAATGAAGATTTGACTAATATTCACTACCTATCTTCCCTTTGACTGTGGCTTTGTTTGTGGCTTCTTAGGGGATAATAAGGTGATGCTGGGTGGTTTAATAGTCTGATGTCCAAAAACACCCTTCAATGGTGTAAACTCTGATTCATCATCATCGCTGTCAATGTTATCAGGAGTATGCCTATTCTGGTATGCTCTGCGCTGCAAAAGAAAGACATTGAAGTAGTAGTTGACTAAACTTTCCCTGCTCTTCTTAGGAAATGCTTTGAAAATATCATCCCAGAAACGTCTATCGAGCGAAGCAGGATTCGATTTCACTACATCTTTGAACTTCTTCTCTTCTTGTGGTGTCCACCATCGCCTAACTTCTTCACCTATCTTATCTAAATTCCACTGATAAAAGGCCACGCCTAATTCCAACTTGAGTTTAGCCCTTTTCTCAGCAATGTGAAATCGAACGCACTCAACAGAACCTTGTACTCGGCATTTACAAGAATTGCGTCTTCCATTTCCAACAGATTCCCTGTCCAAAAGTCTGGATTTTACTGTTTTTAGTGGCCATATTTGATTTCCTAGCCACTTAGAATCACTCTCATGAATCGTCCCAGTCCATTCAGGCACCTCAGCTTGATGGTTTGGCCCAAGAGGAATGTTCACTGTGGGAGGTGTATCAAGAACTGATTCAGAAGCACAGGAGTCACATAACTTTTTTTGGGTACTGCTTTCAGTATCACTTGAGATTCTTCGCAACCTTGAAAAGATAGATGCAGATTTGCCAACTAAAACTCCATTGTTAGATTTGATCCTCTGTCTAAGATTGTAATTTACCCCAAGGTTATCATCATACATGCAAGGATGCATCTTCTGAGCCTAAAATATGACAGAAAATAGTTTCAGCTTTCGTTTTCAACAATACTAAGAAGAAAGCATTTAGGCAAGTATTCAAGTTATCTCAAGAGCAATTAAAGATCTCTATAATCCAAAAATAAAGCAAATCCTTCTACCAAGAACTTATTGATAAATATTAAGCACCTACTAGAGACTAGACACATGTATAATAATGAATATAACATGTGAACCCTCTATTACTTAATGATAACATCCCAAAAGAGGTTTATTAAATCCGTTCATATTATGCACGTCTTAAATAAGAAAGGAACATAAATTTTGAGAATCTACAACCGCTATTGTTGACAGCGGCTTGCAGACCAACTGTGCCGTGCGGAACACTCCCACTGCTACACTATTCCTCTATAGCAGTGATATTAAATCCGTTCATATTATGCACGTCTTAAATAAGAAAGGAACATAAATTTTGAGAATCTACAACCGCTATTGTTGACAGCGGCTTGCAGACCAACTGTGCCGCGCGGAACACTCCCACTGCTACACTATTCCTCTATAGCAGTGATATAGTGTGCTGTTGAGAACATATGAACTGTGTAACAAGTTTTTAATGAATTCTCATCATAAATAGGATATTAATGAAGATTTAAATTTAGTGTTGATTGAAATAAGAATAGAAAATTCCAATTATAAATTTTCACAATAGTTTATTGTGCTTAACATGTAGCACGTAAAAAGAAAAAACCCAGTTGAATCAATTACAATTCAACCCAGTTCAATTCTAGTTCAATCTGATTCAACCTGGGCATGGCAAAAAAACCCGGACCCGTCGGGGCCCGCCCGGACCCACCCCAAAATTAGCGGGGAAAACCCGATTTGAGTGGGTACGGGTGCGGGTGTGGGGAAAACCCGACTTTTAATTACGGGTGCGGGTACGGGTGCAGGGAGACACTAAGACCCGCCGGCACCCGGCCCCGCCCAGCCCCCGAATAATGCATTTTAGTTTAATTATCTTATTTTACTTATTTTAATATTTATTTATTAATTATATTTTTAATTAAATTATTAATACCTTTATTGTAATTAAAATAATTAAATTAATCAAATTAATATTCATTTACTAATTAAATTTTTAATTAAATAAATAATTAATTTATTAAAATAATTAACTTTTTAATTAAATTATTAATTTTTATTGCAATTAAATAGAAATTAATTTTTTTCGGGTGAGGGCAGGTGCACCCATTCTCTACTGGGGGCGAGTCTGGGCGGTAAATTTTTACCCCGTTTGAGTTTGGGGGCGGGGGCGGGTGTGTTACAAGGAGGCGGGTGCGGGTATAGTAAAACCCGCCCCGACCCGCCCCGTTGCCATCCCTAATTCAACCAAATTACAATTCAACCCAGTTCAATCTGATTCAACCAAACTTCCGTACAACCTGAAAACTAGTTGGTTCCCGGTTAGCCTGATTGAACTAGCCGGTTCCCGGTTAACCTGATTGAACTAGCCAGTTTGGTCTAGTTTTTAAAACATTGATTTTGACGAAAAACTAATGCCACAAGTTAAAGTTATATTCAATATCAAATTTAATAATAATCTTCAAAAATAAATGTGGCTAGAACTAGAACTAAATAAAATTGTGAAATAATTACATTACAGGATTTAGTTGTGAAAGTATACCAAAAATAAATAAAGGATAAAATAGCCCTCTAACAACCAAAATAATTCTTTCAACACCAAATTTATTTTAAGAAACAAATAAAAGAACAGAAGATTAGCCATATGAATATTTTGATACAACACATAGGCAGGCACATTTAAAACACAGAAAACAACATAAACTATTGACAATAGGACCTCCTACATCATAAACTATTGACAATATTTTCCATGATGCATGGTCTAGGCAAAAAAAAATGGCACACAGCCCTACATTATATTTCAAATATCACCAATCATATACATAACAAATATAGAGCATTTAGTTGTTTTAACTTACCAGCCAACTGAGTTTTTCACAGTTTGATCCAAATTCCTTTTTCAAGAAGGCAGCTTCTCGAAACAACAAAACCTTCTTCCAGTTCTCTTCATTACCGTAAGACTTCCACTTTGACTTTTCAGGCATTGAACCTACAACAGGATCACAAATATTCTTTGCAGTGCTAGTAACCCAACTCAGCATTTCTGACATCGACTCTCTCTTCCTCTTCCTACCAAAGCTCTCTCTATTAACACTAGACATATACAATATTAAGAAATCATCATCATCATTATCACACCTCTTGCTTCCATCTGACAATCCAGGCATGTCGTTAACTGTGTCGGATACATCCACTGCTTTTATTTTACCCACATCAAACTCTTCCATTATTTCAGCAGCATCATTTTGTTTGCCCAACTTTCCTAGACTAATCTCATTCGTCCTACTTTCCTGCATACAAACATCAACAACTCCTCCGCCCTTAACATTCTTAACCGCATTAGACTCATGATTGCCATCCTTCACTCTATTAGCATCACATAACTTCCTCCCATCTATGTAATCATAAACCCTTTCGAGTTCAGCCGCATTCAACTCTAGGTTCACGCCCTTCACCCTATTAGTACCGCAAAACTTCCTCCTACATTCATGCACACTCTTGAGTTCATCCCCCGCATCTTCCTCACCGTAATCATCCAGCAAAAACTCAGCTTGCAACTCCATCAACCGCTCACCAAACTTAACTCTATCATCCACTAAATCACACTTCGGAAACTCACCATCAACTACATTCTTCAATGGCGTCTCTAACGTACTCAAATACTTACTGTAAACAAGTTCAACAGAAGAACCAACATTCACACCCAACCCATACTCTTCCCCAACCAAATCCCACAGCCTGTTCTTACAAACAACATCATAACCACCTTTATCCTTCACGACCATGAACAGTTTATACAAATCCAAAGGTTGCTCACTACCCAACATTTTCTAGATCTCTTTCTAAATAAACAACAACGAACTTATCAAAAAACAACACTAAACTTTACCAGATAAAACCTACAAAAACAACAGCATCAGCTCCATCAAAACTCTTAGCTAGCTCCACAACAAGCCTGTCATGCAAATCCAAATCATTAATCAAAAACAAAATCATACTAAAAATTTTCCATTACAAACCCTAACCCTAACACCGTCTAAAAATAAATAAACAAAAAATTCAAAAGCAAAACCGATTATGCAAGCGAATTCAGTGTGATGAATGTGAAAAGGTACCAGATGAGAATCAATGGTTGTAGATTTTAGAGAGAGAAACCTCTCCCTCTCTGTATCTCTTTCTCTCACTATATCTAAACTTGTATAGATATAGAAGAAGGAGAACGAGGGGAAAATTTGGGAATCCCGCGCATTGTTTCTAATGCTGAAAAAAAACTATTAAATCGGCGATAATTGGTGTGTTCGAGTGTAAATTGAGAAAAATTAAGGGGCCAAAGTTCAAGTTTTGAACAGATGCAGACGCTATTCTTAAAAAATCAGAGGGTTTTTGAGAAAATAGATTTTCAGAAAATAGGTTTGATCTAAGAAGACCTATGAAATCTGAAAGTACAAGAATTATTTAGAAAATAAAATTAAAAATCTTACCCAAACAGATCTAAAATTTTGAAGGAGTAAAAAAAAATATAATGAAATTTTCATTGGAGATGGAAAGAAAAAATTTGGGGAGAGAAAGAGACATTAGATAGATACAAACCTGTCTGAGTGAATAAAGAGATGGAAGAGAATAGAATAGTCCCTTGGTAAAATTTATGGTGACCTTTGATTTGGAATCCAAATTTTCTCACAACTTCCCAAATTGTTTTGTATTTATTTATAACCCAAGCCCCAAGTTTTTTTTTATTTTCTCTCTAGGAAATAGGGATGGAGAAGAATATAAATTTGAGATGGAGATATAGGATTTTTGGGAGAGATTGATGAATGAGAAAAATCACCTTTTATTGTGGTATTTGAGGATTCATTAACCATGATTAGTTTTTGACCATGGTTGAGTTAAGCTTTTGGATGGATGGGTAGTGGATTGGTGTTAGGAATATGGAAAGGGGCTAGTAGTGTAAGGAAAAGAAAATTGGTTCATGGGAGTGAATTATTTATCTTATCTAGATATCATTGATTTATTTCAAGATTTAAAATCCCTAATTTTTAGGAAATATTGATACAAAATTATATTTTATTTTGTTGTTAAATATAAGATATTTTTAATAAAATCACAAGAATTGAAAACTTTGATTGTGATATTAAATTTATAGATAATTGATATTATTTTTATAATTCTATTTCTTAATTGAGACGGTTAGTTAATATTTTTATCAGAATAATGGATGTAATAATGATTTATATGTGAATTTGGATTCTCTCTTTTTTTATATATTCTGTCATTTCTCATGTTTCTAATCTAACGGTTCAGAATTTATAATGAATAATTAAATAAAAAAAGTCATTTAATAGGAAAGAGAAATGGATAAGTAATTTACAATGTGAAAGTCATTTAATTATGCATTATAAATTATAAACCGTCAGATTAGAAACATGAGAGATGGCAGTATATATAAAAAAGGAGAGGATTCAAATCCTTTATATGTTAGTAAAAAATATTTTTTTTTTAAATATTGATTTATGAATATCAACAACTTATTTATATTAATACATAAATATAAATAAATATTGTCATCATAAATTACATAAATATAAATAAATATTATTGTCACTGATTAAATTATATACTAATAATTTATATTTATTATGGGCTTGTTTGGTAAAAATAGTTGTTGGCTGATAAGTTTATATCGTATAGTTTATCATTGATAGTTGATAGTTTATAGCGTATAATTTATTATTGATGGCTAATAGTTTATAATTTATAGTTGATGTTTGAGACTGATAACTAATAAACTAATTGAAATATTTAGTAAAATTAATGTTTCAATTAAGTTATAAATGTAAATTGACATAAAAGATATTTAATACATAATTATTTTATTTTAAATTAAAATAAATTATAAAAGATAAAACAGAATTTTCGATAAAATAATAAAGATAAAGGTGAAATAAAAAATGATAAACTACAAGTTATAAGCTAAAATGCTATTTGAAATAGCGTCTGAAAAATAAGATATAAGTTAATAAAATAAGTTATAAGCTCATGAAGAGGTGGCAAATAGATGGATTAGATGGATATAGATGAATTAATAATGAATGGATCAAAACAATTCATTAATACATTAATAATTTACTAAAACTTTTTTAAAAATATTAAATCCAATTAGGGATGTTCGTGAGTATGGGTCAACCCACCCACTCATTCACCCTACCCAACTCAACTCTTATTTTAACTTAATTCAATCATGTATCGGTTTAATCCGAACCAACCAATTCAAATCTATCGGTATTTGATTGGGTAACTGACTTGAAATTTTCAATCCTCGAACTCAACCCATTAATATGTCGTATTATTTTTATTTTATTTCTTTTATAAATGATTTAGAAAATTCCTACTACTTATATATCAATTTTTAATATAGTTATAGTTTTTATTAGTTGTAAAAGTTTAAGGCAAAATTAAGTTTGACAGACTGAATTTCTTTATTGAAATAGTGATACATCTTACAATTTAAACTATATTCAACATATTTTGTATTTTTTTGGACTTAATTAAGATTGCGAAAGAGCATGATACTCCCTCCATTCCTATTTATAAGCAAATTTTTACTTTTAAATTCATTAAATAATTAATGCATCTATCCTATATATAGTCCAAATACATCATTTATTGAATGAATCTAAGTAGTCAAAATTTGCTTATAAAAGAGAATGGAGGGAGTACATTTTATTCAAATTAAACACAAAAAATTTATGATGTTTTAATGCTTATGTATAATAAAGTGGTTTTTTTTGTAATAAATTTAAAAAAAAATAGTGGAGGACCCACGAACCCAATTCAACTTAATTTATTAATGAGTAGGTTGGTTCCATTTGGGTTTAGTCTCAGAAGTACGGGTTAAACACTTAACTCAGGTCAACGACTATTGATTGGGTCAGGTATTGGATTTCATAAAATTTTACCCAACCCAATCCACAAAGACCCCTAAATCCAATCCATCATCAATTAAAGATAAAAATCATTTGATCAATCCATTAACAATTTTTTAGTGGATATCCATCCAAAAAAATAATTTAAGTAAGGCCATTTATTTTTAAAAAATGATATTTAAATAAAAATTGTATAAAGTGTTTTATTTTACACTTTCATAAATAAAAATAGATTTATTTTATTTTATGAAAATTTAAAATAAATAAAAAATTGTTTTTTTATTTTTGGGAAGAATTTAATTTTTAGTATTTTTGAAAAAAAATCTATTTTTTTATTTTAATAAAAAAAATTGACTTTTTATATTTTAAAAAAAACATGTTTTTTATTTTCAAAAATAATTGTTTTTTAAGTTTTTGAAAGAAAAAAATCGATTATTTGTATTTAAAGAAAAAATTGTTTTTTTTTTAATTTTCGGGAAAATTTGGTTTTTTTTTTTTAAATTCTGGAAAAAAAATGATTTTTTTTTGTATTTTGAAAAGAAACGGTGTCATACCCCAAATTTTTACCCCTTAGATGTCATCACCATGTGCAAAGCATATTAGGTCAAACGCTCTTGCATAGTTAACCAAATTATCTAGCTTTGTGTTTTGTTTTGTTGAAATTAGGGTTTTGTGGAGAAGAGGAGGAAGTCTTGATTAATCATGAGTTGAGTGGAAAATCAACCAAGGAGGTCTTCATACACCTCAAGGGTCCCTAAGAGGTCATTTGGTCCCAAGAAGTCCAATTCAAAAGCTTCTCAAGTGGATAGGAGAGGTATTGACTTCATCTAATTCAAAAGTCAACTAAGGCATCACAAGGGTCAACCATTGGATTTTGAGGTCAACCAAGAGCTTCACAAGCCTTATTCCATGGTCTCGTGTGAATGGATCAAGAAAAATCAAGTTGGAATCATAAAATCAAGAGCTTGGTGAAATTAGGGTTTTGGTTGAAAAATTCTAAGTGTGGAAATCAAGAATTTAGTCATCTTGCAAGAGTCATATCTCACTCATCCACAAACCAATTGGAACAAACAAATGATATTTGAATAAAGCACATCCTAAACTACAAGTTTGTAGAAGAAATCAAGTTCAAAAGATGTGTGGATTTGGAGTTATGAAGAGTCGAAGTTGGTAAAATCATGATTTGGTTTTCTACACTTAGAATTTTTTCTAAGTCCTAGAATTCAGCATGTTGAAGCCATTTTCAAAGCCACTTTTCTTATAGCTCTAGACTCCAATGCAAAATTCTTTCAAAATAAAAGTTGTAGAGAATTATTTAATCTTTCTTTTGAGTACTATAACTCTTCCATTGGGTGTACAAAACTCAAGATATGAAGTCACCAAGATAGGGTTTCCATTATGTCAAGTTTGACAAGATTTTGGCAGCTTCATGGACCAGTTTTCCAAGGGATTTTTCTTTATGATCAAGGCCTCGTCTCAATTTATTTCATACATCAAAGTTGTAGAGATTTTTTCAAGCTTTTCATCCATTACAAGAACTATTTCATTGGATCAAGTAACCTCAAGTTATGGTCTTACAAAAACTGTGTCACCAAGTTGTTAGAAATGCTTCATGACTTAGAAATATTCCCAAGTTGTAGGATAGATTGTGGAATCAACTTCAAGGTGAATTTCCACTTGATTTTAGACCTCATTTTAAGTTGCCATTAACATGGAATTTATTCCTTGTCATGCAAGCTTTCACTTGAACCCAAAACCTCACAATTTGAGTCATTCTCCATCAAGTTATGATCATGTGAATAAGGTTATATGAACATGAGGAGTTATGCATCATATATTGTTTTCTTAGCATTCTTTTTGGATGATCATACAGCAACCTTGCCTCATTATTTTCACACGCGTAC